TTATTTAACTAAATAAAGTGTACAGGTGATATTAACCTCTACAGGTACATCTCTGTATGATGAATATAACATACTAATCCCCCAAAATTAGTCTCTCAGAAAATATTAAGATTACCTAAGACTGATAGATTGTCAAGGTGTGGACTGCAGCTGGAGTCAGTGCTTCAAGTCCCACCATAACAGTGAAGAAATTTATAGTTTAGTACTGATTAAATACAACACAGAGTTAGGGTTTTCTATTTTATAATACCTTTATAATGTTTGTTATATTTCTTACAATGTGTTAATAGTGTAGATACATGTCCGAATATAACAACACATAATTGAAGCTGTATTAACATTAGAGTTGAGGGCTGTATGTTGGAATGCCTGTGATTCAGCTGTAGGCCAGCAGGGGCGAACCCGGGCATTGAAGATCCTGTATTTATTGGCCGACTTCCTGTTTTGACTTTCAGTGTGTGGGTTGACTTGCCAGCTCATGGCTGAATAAACCCCCACTCCAGAATTCTGATGTTGTATGGCATTTATTTCTTATCACAGATCATTTTATTTAACACTTGTGTTTTCACCTGACTTCAGCCGTTATTGAACACGTATTTTCTTACAATAATAATAATAATAAGAAGAAGAAAATGAATTCTTTCACAAAATAATGACAAAATTTACTGTCATGTTTATGAAAACATCAACATCACTTCTCAGAAATTTTATCATATTAGCATTTCAGAAGCAACCAAATCAAGTTCACACGTCTGAGTTAAATTATAGAATCTAATATTTGCAAATAGAATATATGCTGCACACAAGACTTATTTCATACATTAGTCCACCTACTCATAAGTTGTATAAAAAAAATTTTTCCATCAATGAGAGAGACTTGAACAGCTTGAACTGACAAAAAGTTGTTTGCTGCTGTGTTGACTACTCAACCAGCCAGCCAAGAAAACCATGCTTGTTTCAGCTCTCTACAAATCAGACCTGTTGGCTGCACCGCCTGACTTGCAACACCCAGCCGTGGCTCAGTGACCCCGTGCAGCTCGAGAGGAAGGTTACAGACCGGAGCCTGTTGATTGGCCGACTCGAGCAGCCCTGATTTCCCCACTGGCTGCGTGACTCCCTGCAGACACATGCAGACCTGTTCCAAAGCCCAAACACAAATTTACATTTATATGAAAGGAGCGGGAGAGGAGGAGTACACGCAGGACAAATCCTGTTGCAGTTCCACGGTGCGATGTGAAGGTCTGAGAAGCGTGCAAGATTTTTGCACAAATGGACTGTGGAGGGAGAAATTCAGTTTACCTCTGAAGGAGTGACGTGAAGGCGTCACATAGAGGGAGGGCACAGTGGGGGAAAAGGTAGAATGCAGAAAACGTTGGTAAAATGTAAAGGGGGCAGAGGAAGCCAAAAGAAAAAGAAACCAAGATGTTCCRCACAAGAACGTCTCTTGCTAAAAGACATGAAACATGTCTGCAGTGTTTGACTGAGGARACCTTTCACAGCAACATATGGATCAGTTTGTTGTCTCTTTARAACTCTAAATGTTTCAGAAAGGTCACAAGAAGCGAGGGGTTCACTCTGCTGTGTCACACTGACAGCAGAATAAAAAAATGTTCAAATCCTCAAATCCCAAACAGAAAAAAAAAATCATAAAAAAAAATCAAGATGCTTTATGTTTTGCTGTCTGACTCACAAAGAAAAGACTTAAATCACCCCAGGTCCTGTCAGGAAACAACTCAATGTGATGACTCCTGAAGAGGGATCAGCCAAAATAACTAGAATAGTTCCTGGAGTAACTATCAAAGAGCTTGGTACATGGTGTCTAATTTAAATAAAGATTTGACTTTTCTGTTACTGACATTTTACCTCAGYATCGCTAAAAATGCCCAACCTATGGTCAGTTCTTCCATTCTGCTATGRAGTCCATCTTGGATATTTGATTGGAATTCATTATACGATGAGGATTGTTAGCAGGTACCACCAAACAAAATTTCTWCATTATATGTCTAAAAAGGGCTGCATTACAGTCAGTTTTACATTTTAGCGATGGCGGCCATCTTGRATTTTGAATTCGTATGTGATGATTGTTCTCAGCTAGCCTGGCCCTTGCCTTTCTACGCAGCTCCGCTCAATTCTAGTTTCCCTTCTCTGCTCCGTCTGGGACTTCTCCCATAGACAAGGATTTCACTGGCAGATTTTTAGCCGAACCAATCAGAGAACAGAACGTCGGTTTTCTGCGCAGTGTCTGCTTGTAGTTTATTTCACCTGGGCCAATCAGCAAACAGAAGGCGGAGTTTTGAATGATGTCGATGTTCTGCGCAGTGTCGGCTAGTTAGTTAGCAATGGCAGTGGAGGAAGTGAATGAAGCCAGTCCGTGTCGATAAGACTTCCAAATTAAAATAATTAAAATAAATTTGTCTGACAAAGCAGCAGCTCTCATTCACAGTCGTCTCGTTGGTATATKTCTCCTCTCAGTAGGGTTGTTTAAGCACACGCGATTTCTGGTTAGCGTCTTAGCTTAGCCTCCTTCACAGCGACACACACACTTCAGCAGAGGCCACGCCTCCAGCAAGAATCGCTTCTCTATAGCAGCRAGTCCAGACCCTCGTACGAAGCAAAGYGAAGGACAAGGGTCTGGTTTTTACCAGGCTAGTTCTCAGCTACCACCACACAAAACTTCAGCCCAATATTTCATAAAACGGTTAAGTAACTGCAGTTTCCAATTAGCTCTGGTGGCCATCTTGAATATTATATTATATWTTCAGAATTTGTCAAAGCTTGTTCTTGGCTCCTACCAAACTAGTTTTCAGCTTTTTGTCTAAAAATGGCTGAATCATATCTTTATCTATAATTAGCATTAGCRGTTAGCTTAAACTTATGATTAGCATTTAGAATGTGTTGAGTTAGCTCTCAGCTACCAACCCTGCAAATTTCAGCTTCATATCTATTAAAACTGCTGAGCAATGCATTCCTCTGCTCTCCTATTCATTTGAATTGGCAAGCCCTAATAGAAAGAAAAAAAAATCTAATTCATGCTCATGATAATTGTATATAAATGTCTAACTGTTTTGCTATGACAATTGGTTTTGTTAAGATGACTTCAGGCAGAATTCTCCATCTTTTAAACTCTCCTCTGTTGTTTTTATTCATCATAAATAAATGACTCATAAAAAGAAGACTACATTAGGTCCACTCTTTGGAGGATTGATATTGTCTAATATTGCTTTCAATCAGGAGGAATGTGGAGGAGTTTTATTTTCAGTGTCAATGGCTATCAGCGGGTATTTCAAAGAAGAAAATCTTGGCTCTGACCAGTTGAGAATATTTCTGGACCAACGGAGTGYGAGAACTAATCCTATTAAGCTGCAGGTTGGGACTTACCAGAGTTAGTTATAAGGAGCAGAGTTCATCTGATATTAGCGAGATATTACCAACACTATGACCGCAGCCATAACTTTCCTTAACTGCAGCAGGACACGCAGTGCTGCAACCTTTCCTCCTCCTCCTGCTCTGAGTCATTAAAAGCCTGCAGAAAAGCTTGCAGTAGCACCRTGAGTGCGGCCCATTTAGCTCACCTGTCAGGTAGATGTTGTCTCCCGCTGAGATGACGCTGAAGAACTCACGRTCGTAGAAGGGCAGGCTGGCCAGTGGGTACCACTTACTGTTCTGGGGGTTAAAACATGTGACTGCTGTCAAGGAGCGCTGGTTCATCCCAATAGCCTGACGCCCYCCCACCAGAACTATCACCTCGGCTACACCTACAGGACAAATGAACAGGAAGAGAGAAGAGAAAGCAGGTCACCGAGGAGGGAAGGTTTCCATCAGTGAATAAGAGGCAGAGTTGGTAGATGAGACAATCCCACACAGGCACAATGCTTTGGAGGATGTTGTCTGAAAAACATTTATTATAAGCAGTTACAAAGTTAAAAACCTATCATTCCTTGAGGGAAATAACATTATGATCACATGCAAAATCTCTGTTAGTGCTCGGAGTATGTGTTGATTACGAACATCTCAGAACACAACAAATTTTAGCTCAGCATCTTTAAAATTGACTTAGATTTGTGTTGATCAGTGGTGGTGTCCATCTCGATATGGGACGACTCTAAAACTTAATCAGCTGTAAATGTAAATTCACTGATTATTTTCTGTGAGTTTGAGTCAAAATTTAATAACTGCTTTACAACATATGTTGCTGTTGACTAAAAACGTTAACATAGTGCTGGACAATTATTCAACTTTGATATATTTATTGATATACATTTTGTCAAAGCAAAATACCTATTTGAGATATATTTAATAGCATACAGTATAAATTACATCAGATTTAAATCAAGATATCTGCAATAAGTTACTGACTATCTGAAACACATATTTAAGATAAACAATAAATTATGACTAGTTGAAGAAACGTTAATGAACCATAAGGAAAGTGATTATGTTGGAGTGTCTGCGACTCAGCTGTAGGCCTGTAGGGGGCGTACGATACACTGAGACATGTTAAAATGAGCTGCACTTCCGGCGTTCCGACAGTGCTGGTTGTTGCTTCAGCCGTGAACAATAAACCATCATTTAGAACCCAGTACTGGAGTTTGTATGGCAATTCAACATTCATATGGTTTATACCTGGGTAAGACACAATTTCAGTAAACGAACATTAAAATTTTCTTACATAGTCATGAATACATTTTAGCCATATCGTCCAGCCCTACATTAATGGCAAAGTGGAACGCTCCGATGCTGTGTTGGGGTGACTCTTAGCTACTACCACACTAAATAGTGGATTATTGCAGTGGTGGGCAGTGCTAATCCAAAAGTTAGTTGTGCAAGTTCTAAAGCACTRAACTGTTTATTGGAGAACTGAAGCGATGCTTTCTGGGTACAGGACGGATTGGTGACAGGAAGCAAAAATACGAAAAACAGGAAACCGTCTTAACTTCAAATTAGAGCATGAATTTAAACTTTTTCCTACTTCTGTTATGGCTCCAGTTACTGATTAATCACTTATTCATTCAAACCAGGTGTGTCGAATTAGGGAAACAATTAAAACATGCACAGGAGTCCTTGAGGACCAGGGTTGGGAACCACTGCTTTAAATGTTGAGAAACGCCTCAAGCTTCTCTGAGCTTGGTGCAACATTTTCAAAGTATAATATTGGCTTAGTTTTATGGGTTTTTTTGTGTTGCCTCTGGAAGCCATTGATTCTTTGCCATTTATTTATAAATAATGAATCAGATAGCATGTATTAAAGCAGTGGGTCCCAAACCTGGTCCTCAAGAACTCCTGTCCTGCATGTTTAGATGTTTCCCTGATTTGACACACCTGGTTTGAATGAATGAGTGATTAACAATCTTCTGAAGACCTGTTGAATAGCAGGAGAACAAGTAAAACATGCTGGATAGGGGTCCTTGAGGACCAGGATTGGGAAACTGAGCTAGAATGTATAGCATCTGTGAATAAACAAGACATCTGAGGGATTGGTATTGACTTGAGACAGCCTTCTCCGTCTGCTGTTAAACATAATGATGGTCAGCACATAATTAAATAATTAAATTAGCACTATTTTTCAAATTTTGAAAGTGCAAGTCCACAATCAGATCAAAAAAGTGGTAAAAGCACAAAAGAGCAAACAAGAAAATTAAGTTTGCAATTTGCTCTTTAGGGGACTAGTGCCCACCACTGGTTCATCGTGTGTAAAGTTGACTTGGGTACAACCCTTTTTATGTTGGACAAGTTTTACCAGCTGTGGTGCCCATCTTGGATGGGATTTATCAAATGTAAATGTACATCCAGTGATTTATTCTTGAAAGTTTCATTAAATCCAACCAGGCGTTGAAGAGGTAGACACACACACCCACACATCATCACCTGCCTTTTTTTTCTTTTCAGCAGTGGCCAACAACAAAACATTTCAAATATTTTTACACCAACAAGCTACGCACACAAGGAGCCGGGGATAAAATGCTTGCTGTTTGGAATTCAGTTGGCCTTGGCTGTCCCTGAATCAATAAACTTGTTGGAAAATGCTGAACGAAATGCAAAGCAGCAAAGTTTCCTCTTTTACACAGAAAACTTACTGAGTAAATGGGGAAAGTATAACTCAATTAGCAAGACCGATGMGGTTACTACCCAGCTCTCTTCCTACACGTAATTCACTCGACCACACACTCACAGTAAAACTTTCACAGTGTGTGAGTACGTGTGTGTGTGGCATGAGATAATCACCGAATCAATACGTAAATTAATTTATGTGAATCTGTATGTGAAGGTGGAGTCACTTGATTAGGATACTTCTGTTTTCAGAACTCAGCTCGGACCGATGCAAACTCACAAACACAGCTGGTGGATAAAGACACCAGTGATCTGAAACACACACACACACACACACAGGTTGGCAGACCGCCACATGTGTGTCCTCAGGTCCTCGCAGGCTCCAGTGAGCAGGCAAGGCGACGGGACAAAAATGAGCTGTGTGTTTGTAAGCAGCAGGCAGGCAGGCGAGCAGAGGGAGGGAGAGGATAAGGGTAAAAGAGAAGAGAAATGAGAAGGGAGGAAAAGCTAATCTTCATAAACTTCAAACTTAAGACTGGTTTTGGCCTGCTTGGATCAATACTTTTTTCACAAATACATTCTCTTTACCAGGCGCATCCACGGGGGCTTGATATACAGTAACGTATGCTTCTTTAGATTTAAACTATCCTGCTATTTCTGTCAAAGCTCATAAACAAAACTGCTTTTTTTTTTTTTGCTAAAAAGAGGAGCAAGGATAGAAGAAGGGGGAAAAAAAGTTGCAAAAACTAGAATGAGCTTGGCTGAAGCTGAGCAAACAGACAGAGCGGCGAGCGCTGCCTCAGACACATCCTGGACACACAGCTTAGACTTAGTGGACAGCTTAAAGCAACTTGGCTCCTTTCCTCTACGGGATTTTAAGGAAGTGTTTCCATGCATAGAGTGGAAAAGAAAACAGATGGCTAAGAGAGAAAACTGTGACTGCGTCCTGTGTACAATAACGATCAAATGCAGAAGATGAAAGCAAATGGATGCACACGAAATGATGTGACGCCCGATTTCGATTTGTTTCTGTCACAAGGATATTTTCACAGCTCAGTAGCATCACAATCCAAACTAGAACCCTGGAATGGACCATGAAGACCTCCAACAGATGATTTTTGATGTTCAGGTTATAAATGGGGGGGGGGGGGGGCTTTTATGGGACAGCAGCTGTGCTTTGACAAAAGTAACGAGGCATAAACGGATTTTTTGTCTTCTTGCTTGTGGTTCAYACAGACAAACACAGATACACTAAATAAAGTCCAGACTCCACACCTGCCTTACCCACCACCAGTACATGTCTAACTCTAACCGAAACTCAGTTCACACCTAAAGGCCCCTTCTCACTATGTTGCAACTGTTGAAGACTAGCTGAGGCTACAAAATGATGAGAAAACAGGCCTATTTTAAGTTGTTTTCTCACTGAATTCTGAATGCTTGCATCTAATTGACCAGCAAGTCATATTTCCCATTAAGGACTTGCAGAGCTGTATTCTTGGCTGTGTACATTATCTCATTGCCAAGCTCCACCCACATCATACTCGCTTTGGCTCGCTTTGTACCCACTTTGGCAGCCACCTTCATATTTACAATCTAATGTACCAGAATAAACGTTTGAAATGAAAATAGGCAGATTTAGACTTTGTCTCTTAGACCTGGACATGTTTTGTCATATAGTGCTCCCGTGCAGGTCTCGGAATACAGCTGAAGCTCTTTTGTGTCAGGTTGCAGATGCTTGCAACAGGAATTAGACAGGAATTAGATTTTTTTGGACATGTTCAAAACTCAAGTGAGATGACTGCGTCAGGTGCGACTCACCTGAGGACATTAAGAACTACCCTCCAAACATTCAAGACATTAAGGAGACAGCCTGTTAACATTCAGCGGAACGCCAGGATGCCGTTTTTGGTTCGTTTTATTTTAAAACGTCTTTTTGTGTCTCTGTTCAACCTGTGTCTGTGTTCAATGCATCAAAATGGATGTCTAGGCCTTCCTCTTTCGACTGACACCTCATTTGACCAACTGGGTTCAAGTATCAGCTGTCCAGAACCAATAATATATGAGAAGTGACCAACTTCCGGTTTCCGTCATCCTGGGTTAGATTGACTGTAGAATTGGCCAATCAGCTCAGAGCTTCGTTCTGATGACACAGCTGTGTAGCCAATCACCATATCTTTCATTTGGCATATACAGTATATTGATGGGGTGGGAACTTTGTTTAGTGACGGCACAAGCTACACACGGAGTAGGTCGCCATATTTAGGCAGTCGTGCTATGCTAACGAAGAAAGCCACGCTCACAGGAAAACGTTTTTTTTTTCCATAGTTTTTTGGCCAGTTAGCCGAATAAACATGCTGATAAGATGAAAATATATTTGTTATTAAGTGTTTCAAGTGCTTCAAGACATGGAAGAGTGATTTTTGTGGCCAGGAGAAGTAAAAATGTTTGGATAAAAACACTTCCGGTCGGCCATTTTGAGTCGCTAATTTCGTCATATTTGAGGACGAAAATGCATCATAAGTAAGTGAAAAACTTTTTTTTTTCACTGCTGGTGGTTTTATAAGCTGTGTGAAATGTTAATGCTTTGAAAGAAATAAGGATATATTTGTTTATTCTTGTGTTTTGGCTGTTTAGTGGTGAAAATTCGTCTGAATGTACTCCAGTTGGTCTAAATATTTCAGAACAATAATATATAT